TGTTAGTCATTGTTGGGTCTTAAGTCATTAGTTATTGGGCCTAAACTTGTTTAATGTTTATTTGCCTAGGTGTCCCATCACTAATCAGGGGCATTCTAGTCCATTCATGTAACACTATGTGATAAACATATATATAAGATAGTAGGGTCGGCTGAAAGGTTTTGAGCCGCCATTCTCAAACTTCCTCCTCTTCTTCTTCTCTTCTTCTTCGGCTGCTGTGTTCCAGCAAACACATCCAACAAAGCACTAACTTGTTTTCAATCAAATGCAAAATCAAATCACTGAGTAAATGCATGCCTGGGTGATTTGATTTTAATGAGTTCACATGGTCACAAGACTCGCAACATTTTCTTGTGACTGCAATAAATTATGAGCATGCTTATAATCAAAAATAGTGGGTGAAGGTTCCTTTGACTCCTTGGAAGCACTTAGATCTCGAAAAACTATCCAAAAAAAATCATCCACTATCTATCATTTCCTAAAGTTCTATCCTCGATTTCTAATGTTTTCATACCATCATAACTTTGGCACTGTTTCTGGTGAAGCTGTGAAGTTGCATTGACTTCCACAAATTACTTCCCATTCTACCTGAGCTGAAATTTACACCAAAACTGAATTTGAAGCCCTTATGACCACTCAATAAATGTTTGGTGAAATAGATTTTCATTGTAATCCTAGTCCCTGAACTATTCTTCTTACTTGTAATTTTTGGCATGTTGGTCAACTTCACTAGGCCTTCAGAGATAGTACAACTCGGGAAGACTTTGTGTTGAATGACTTGAATCTATCTGCTCTACGTTCAGGTCCAAGTTATATTTTTATTCTTTTTGGCTAAGAACTGGCTTATTGGTTTATCTACAAGACCACAAGCACAAGCAGAGCCTTGGTTTCCCAAGTGAATGATACCTTGTTCAGGTGGATTTCAAGGTCTGCTATCTCATCAGTGGATAGTCTGGTTAAGCAAAGAGTTGCTGGACCTGTCCTATTCTTGGGTGCTGATATCTGGGTTAGTTTTTCTTCTCCTAGCTTGTAAATACTAGGTTTGGGATATGTATCTTTGTATGTTATTTTCCAATTGTGGTGCTCTGCTCCTTCGTGGAGGAGGCTGCTCATACCACTCTTTATCTTTTGATCATTTAAAAATTTATTGGTAATGAAAAAAGAAACACCATATGCACTTACCCTATATCGCGTATAGACTGTCCCATTGCATTCTTATCTTGAAGTCTGCCACCAGTGGTGGACTCCTTCAACTTCAAAAAGTCCAAGTAGCTTCAGTTGTTGAGATTTTAGATTTATGATGTCCAGGTGAAGATAACACAGATACAGACACAGGAAATGGGGATATGACTCCATTTCCAAAAATCCTGGACACTAGGAATGTAGTAGATGTAAAACTTTATTATCTATTTTTATTTTGCATATTATCCAGAAGGTAATGAGATTTTATAATATTTACTGGGTTTTATTGAGGAAATATGATTTGTAACTAAAAGTTAAATAATAGATATAAAAAGCTCATATTCTTGTCAATTCTTTTGATTAAATGGTCATCAATGAATTCTAATGTCCTCAGTTTCTACTAATTTGGTTCTAATGGAATTTACCAATCATTGCAGGCTAAGATGGCTTTCTCAGAGGCTCTATATGGTTCAGTAACTGAGCAATACAATGTGCTGAGATCTGCCATACATCAAAACCAAGGACTTGATGCATCAAACGCTGCAGTCTCGTTGTCACAGCCCTGGAAGTAATAAACTTTTGTAGCTTTTCCATGTAATGCTCCTTTATTCTCAGGTTTGCCTTCCATTTTACAGGGTTGATTGTGAAATAGTTGAAGTACTAATTTGATTAAAGATGTCCTTGAGAATTTTAATTTCTATATCCTTATTTAAGTCTTTATATTTTTTTCTAGGTGGCATTTTATGTGTATAATTTTGACAGAAATGTGCTTATTTCATTTGCCTACCTTATTGAGGCCATCCATAAACAAAAACCACTACTAACCTAAAACAGCAAGAAAACAATGCTATGCCAGAAAAATTCCCAATCTAAGGATGTAGTCTTCATTCATTGATAGAAAATAGGGTATTCATTACATAACTAAGAAATAAATTATCAGTTTTGTACTTTTCTTATTATCAATATGTTCTCTTGTTATTTTGCGCCCGAGGCACAAGGTGGAAGGCGAGGCATGTGCAATGCCAAAAGTTAAAAATATTAATCATAATATTAATTAAAAATATAAACTTAAATTTTAATTTCTTTTAAAAAAAACTGTTATCTCAAATTAAAATGCATAAACATATTTAAAATGAAAATTTTAAAATAAAATCAAGCATAACATATAAAACATATTCAAGCATGTAAAACTCTCAATCTCTTTATTTTTTCCCCAATTGCATTACTTCAAATAGTTAATGTGATGTTAAACATAATTTATTCCTGATTCTATGAGCCACCTTTTGAAATTACTGCATCTGGGACCTAGGTGAGACGCATACCCTAAAATGTGCCTCAGCGTGCCTTTTAAATCACTGATGGAGATCATCAATATCATCATCATCATCCATGCCTTATCCCAACGTCCTCAATGGAGATCATTTTGCTATTTGTGCACTCTGAATTCTGGGAAATGTCTAGGTTATGCTTTGGTTCAGATTTATGGTCTACTCTTGATCTGTATTGATAGACGTAAACTACATTTTTCTCCTTGATATTTGTTATATTGGTAAAGCCTGCATTCTTAGTAATGGTCTTGGTTGGCTGAATTAGGTTTCAACAGGAATATTGTTGTACTCATCTTTTTCTTTTAATAAAAATTTCCCTTTATCTATAAAAAAAAATTCCCTAGGGAATATTGTTGTATTTTATGTACAATCATGAAAACCAAAATGACAGAAAACAATGTTACATTTGCCTACTTCACAGGCTAGGTCCCTAGTACAAGTTAGCTCTATTGGCTACTTTCTTAGCTAAGGAATAAATGAAGGGGTTAGCAGCTGAAATGAAATATTCAAACATGATGCCAGAGATTTAGTTCATTATTTTTTGAATGTATAGCCAAGGAACTGTTGTTGCATCTACTAGTCTATTGCAGGTTGTGAAGCTCCCTCTATTTCTAATCCATCATAACCTATTGAGTAATGACTCACCCAAAGTGTTGTGACAATGATAATAATTTTGCTGAAATGGACTTGATGGAGCCAATTGGACAAGTACATATTACCAGTGCCTCATGGAATTTCTAAAAACCCCTTGAATACCTGATCTCCCAGTACTACAGCTATCAAAATTTAGATTGATACCATTTTGTCCAGGGAAAATCAATGAATGGGTGAACAGAAGCTCTTGTGCATGAAATAGTGACACATACTGCCAGCCTCTCATGATATCATCCATGCTAGAAGCAGTATTATATGGGCTCTCCTAAGGCTATGTTTGGTTTGAAGGAAAAGATAGGGAAACCCATAAAATATTTGTAAAGGTTTCCCTTCCTTTCCCTTCTTTTTCCTTCAAACCAAACACAGCCTAAACAGATGAAGTGTCTATATTGAACGCACATCACATTTTAACACACCATAGTTAATTGAGGGACACTGCTACTTAATATTTTCAGTTCTCTCTATCATTTTAATAAAAGAACAACCAGCATAAAAAGATGCCTTTTTTCTATAAAATATTATGGTATAGGATGGAGAGGAGAAAGTCCTACTAGGATGAACATGGGTAAAGAAGGTGAATTGAGGATCTGAATTATGAGAGGAAGAAACTTAGATCTGGATAGAGAAGAGACAGATAACAAATATTGCACCTTTAGATTAAAGGGTAGACAAAGAGAGAGAAAGAGGACCACATACAAACCATTTCTTATAAAAAAAGAAAGGACCACACACACACAGGTAACTTTTGTTTGATGCATTGACAACACTAATGTTGCTTATGGAATTAAAATAGGACTACATATTGTAACTGTGCAGTATGTATCTATTATGTGATAGATGCATATGAATAAATTTGAAGAACATATTTATAAAAAAAATTGAACATTTTTCAAGAATTAAGGATATCTGTGTTTTACTCGACAGGGTGTTGGGAAATTAAGAAACAACATAGCCGTGGAACAAACATACCCAAGATGAATAGGTGTTAAATGCCTCTTTGAAACATATTGTAGCTCTAGTAAGTGTTAACAATATAGAAGGTTGACTAAGGTCATGTTTGGGAGTGCTTTATGTTAAAAATAAGTGCTTAATTCATATTTGCATTTGGGTCCAACTTTTTCAACTAAATTCATATTGGTGTTTGGTAGTCTTTTTCTCCAATAAGCACTTAAATAAGCATTTGTGACTATTTTGTCTTTCATTTCTTTTAAATTTTATGAAAATACTTTTATAAAAGTACTTTTACGAAAGCACTTTTATGAAAGCATTTTTACGAAAGCACTTTTATAAAAGTGTGACCTCTAATATTGTGTTCTTATGCACTTCATGTTATTCATTGCAGGCTATGTGAACTATTTTCAAGCCTTCCATACAATTGACATTGTGGTTAGTCCAGTGACCTTAGTCTATTATGCATTGCAAGGGTAAGAGAGAAAGTTCCAGTTTCCAATATGAATTTGGCTGCCTTCTGTTGGATGTCTCTATGCTTGCAATTTTCTGCAGAAGAAATTACTTGTGGTAGTGGATATATAAAATGGAGATCAATTAGATTTTTGGGATAAGCGGCTCACTGTACAGAATTTTTGGGAGAAGCCTGCCCCCCCCNCCCCCTCCATTGCCTTGTATCTCTAACTTCTCTTGGTATATATGTGTTGTATTCTTTTAATCAGTTCCTTAGCTTGTACTTAAACATTTTATTTTTTCATATAAAGAAACTCAACACAGAGCCGTTGTAATTTGCAATATGCCTGAAAATATAAAGTATCATCTTAAAGAGAACAAGACTATTTGCTGGAAGGAGACGACAGCTTTCTGTTGACAAATTATGTTGATGTTGTAATGACACGTGACCAAATGGTCAATTTTTCTTTGTAACATAGATAACTACTATCAAGTGTGGCAGTTATTTGCATTGTGTTTGGTTTGAAAGAACGAAGGGAAAGGTAGGGAAATCTATACAACAGTGCCTTTTTGTCTATGTTTTGATGTTTGAGCACTTAAACTACCAATTTATCCTAGGGCTGGCAATCTTGACCTCAATCCATTTGACCCACCCACCCATACCCGTCCATTCTATTGGTGGGTCAATATGGGTCGAGTAACCCATTAAGGTCGGTGGAAAAGGGTTAGGGTGGGTTAGGTCGAAGGCACCCTTTAAGGTCAAGATGGGTTGGGTTGCATAGGTATGGTGTGTTGGGTCAAAGTCAGCTCTATCTATATTAACCAAATTTTAAAAAAAAAAAAAAAAAAACAATTGAAATGACTTGAACTCAGACCTCCTAAAGCATCTTTATGTCATTACAATTCCAAACCACCATGCCACATTTCATTGAGATTAAAAGTGAAATAAAATAGATTTTATTAACTTTCGTGTTCACATGCAATTTTACACAAAATCACTTCTACAAAAACAATTTTATAAAGCAATTTTATGATAATGACTTTTACAAAAGTACTTTTATGAAAGCATAAAAGCATTTTTATAAAAGTACTTTTATGAAAACGCTTTTACAAAAGTACTTTTATGAAAGAAATTTTATATAAGTACTTTTATGAAAGCATAAAACTTTTATAAAAGTGCTTTTACAAAAGCACTTTTATGGAAGTACTTTTATATAAGTATTTTTACAAAAGTATTTTTGCGAAAGCACTTTTATAAAAGTTATGAAGTTTTTGCATTTTTTTTGTAATTTTTTGTTGTTTTCTACATTTTTTGTAATTTTTGGTATTTTTATGCATTTTTTACAATTTTTTGGTGCTTTAATGCATAATGTTTACATTTTTTGGTGTTTTTTCATGCAATTTTAGTATTTTTTGCATTTTTTTACAATTTTCTACTGTTTTCTACATTTATCTACATTTTGTGCATTTTCAAGTATACGAGTTGACCCGACTCATTTTTGTCACATGGCAAATGGGTGGGTTAAGGTGGTTTAGGGTTAGGGTGGGTTATGACCCTTTAACAAGAATTGATGATGGGTCATGGTGGATTGGTGGGTTAATATGGATGGCTTGGTATTCAACCCTTACCCAACCCACCCATTTGCCACCCCTAATTTAACCAACCAATGTTGCTTGGTTGGTAAGGTCTCTAGCTGGTGGTAGTGGAGATTTTGGAACAAATCCTATTGCCACCAAAGTTGGGGTAACTCCCCATTGTGTAGACCCCATGAAAAAGAAAAAAAAAATCGACAAGGAGTACTACAGTATTACTACTACCAATCTATCATATTAAGAATTTGCCTTTGTTTGTGCACATCATTAGATATAGATGTAGAAGACCTTAAGATTGACCATTTGTGCAATTGATAGTAATGAGCGAAGCGAGGTTCGTTTGGGAGGTCTTTCACAAACACGCAACAACTTCTAGTGTTACATGAGCTGAGAAACTTGAAAAGTTGTTAAGCCATATCTATACTATGACTCTGGATTTCTTGCCCACAAGAACTCTACCCACAATACACCACCTTCGTGCATTGGGAACATCTTGCCATGCATAATACTATGTAGAGGATGAGATGTTCCCCATGTGTGGATGTGATGTTATGTGAGCGGACGTGAGCAGAATTCTTGTGGACAAGAGATTCGGACTCCTATAAAATCTATAAAAGTACGAATGGGGCATAATGGCTTCTAGAATTTTCATTGGGCAGTTTTCACCCTCATATATCTATGTCTATTGAGGGTATATATGTACTTTTATTTTAATAAAACCTCCTTCCACACTAAATGATATGACATACGCCCAACTTCCTCTCCTGCCTTCTTTCACTAGTTACAAAATTGTGGCATCGCAAAAGCCATTTTGAACAAAAGTCAGAAGGTCGAACAACTCCTACATTTGCCTATATCGACTGAACTTCCATTTTCTTCTATGATTCATTTTGTTCATAAATAGCATCAATTGCATCGTTTTTAGGTTTTTCTCCTGTTGAGTTTATATTCTACATCTTTTTCTTTCTTTTCAACAGAATACAAAATGGCATTTGGAGGGTGTTGTAGTCATAGTGATGTCCATTGTTATTTTCAATTACCCATTGATATTGTTTATAAGATCCTTAGAGAGATCGTTTGGGTCATGAGAAAAGTGTTTTGAGCAGATGAACTATTGAAATCTGTGTTTGTTCCATATTGGATTCATTCCAAGAAAATAAGTGAAATGAAAATTTGAATTTTGAGAAAAAAAAATTGTTGTTCTTTTCGAGCATGAGATGTCAACAAACTAATCATAAATTCCTTGCAAGTTTCAGCATACTGGAAAGGCTACGAGGAGGGTATATCAGTTTCTTCTTTTCATTTCCTTCATCTTTTTGTCTTCTTTTTGTATTTGGGATGCCTAAGAGCGTCAAATGTATGATGATCCTAGCTCTTCTCTCATGACTTGTATTTCTCTCTCCGTTATTCATTCATGACTGGTATTTCTCTTAGCTTTTTTATCTCCTTCTTACAACTATTAATTATAAGGTAAATCTCTTAAACTACCCCTATTATCCACGAAATTGACAAATTGTACCCTTACTATTTAGATATTGTCTTAAGCTACCCTTGAGTTTTCTTACAATTGTCTAACACCTCCCTTGCTGTTAATTTTCTATCACACTCCGTTCACATGTAACATCAAGTTAGTGTTAATTATTTTAAAATTCCTAAAATACCCTTATTATTCACCACTGTTGTTGGATGAAAGCAAACCCATCTGCTGCTCTTGGGCTCTGCTTTAAGGAGAGGCTTGGCGAAGATGAAACTGATGATGCCACCACCGGCGCATCAAAAAGGCTCAAAAACGCTTGGCCAAGGAGCGAGAGGAGATACTAAACGCCAACAGTGGTGGCAAATCTGCCAAGAACTTCACCGGCAAAGAAATGAAGAAGGCAACTAATAACTTCTCTAAGGATCGGTTGCTTGGCGTCGATGGCTACGGAGAGGTCTACAAGGGCATCCTCGAGGATGGCACCATCATTGCCGTCAAGTGCGCCAAGCTTGGGAACACCAAGAGTATAGATCAGGTCCTCAACGAGGTCAAAATCCTGTGTTAGGTGAACCATCATAGCCTCATTCGACTGCTTGGATGATGTGTTGGCGGGCGGTCAAGTTTCAACACTGCGGTGAAAGAAACAACATTGCTTTCAAGTTTCAGCACTTATAATATCCTTACTTGATGCCACTGAGAAGAGGCTCAATGAGAAGAGGCCGCTGAGAATGGAATCGTGTTCATCGAGTAGAAAACAAGGGAAAAATGAATCGGTCTACACATTCAGTTGGGTTTTATTTTAAAATTTTGATGAATAGTGAGGTAAATTTGATATTTCATTTTTTTCTGTTAGTGTTTAAAGGCGTGTCAATTGTCAGAAAACTTAGGGTAGTTTAAGACAATATCTAAACAGTAAGAGTATAGTTTGTCAATTTTGTGAACAATAGGGGTAGTTTAAGAGCTTTACCCTTAATTATATCGTTGAAAACCAATATGTCCCTTTCTCTTCTTCCCTCCTTCCCTCTCAATCTGTCTCAATCGAATTTGAGTTGCAAATTTAGGATGCATTTCATTTGTGCAGAGAGCCCAGTGATCAGACCACCAACTTTGAATATCTTCCATTTTCATCCTATGCATATAGAGCCATTTATTGCAAAGGTATGGGATTCAAAACTAGGAAGTTTTTTTTTTTAATTCATTTCTTCTAAGCTTCGTTTAGTGATAATTTGAAATGGTTTTCTTCTATTTTTCACAAGTGTAGCTTTAATTTCTACAACAAGCAGTGGTACAAAGAAATCATCAGGGCTGGCCATGGAGTTGGCTAATCCTCGGAAGGATTTGGCTAGTATTGAACCACCCAAAACTGTCAAGGTAGGATTCGAGATAAGATATTTAGAAGAAACAAATTAATTATCTCGAGATTATTGATTTCCAAATATTATTGTTTTCTGTTTCAATTCAGTACTTCATCCTTGTTAAAGTTCAATTTTTAGTATAGAACTTATGTGATGGCATATTACTTATGCCAATTGATATTAAAGGGCAAATATAATACAATTACAAGAATTTCCTTCTATAGAAAAGAAAGAAATACAAAAGGAATATGAACAAATTTAAATATTCACACCTCATCTACTTTACACTAGATCCTATATTTCCTAATATGGCTATAAATGAAGTCTTATTGTGAATGGATTCTTGTACTACTATTTTTTAAAGTTTATCTTATATTTACATTTTTTTTTGAAATATCTCCATAATGGTGCCCTATAAGCTTTCATTAGGCCTACATCAATTTATTTCCTAATTTGTTTTTGTTGTGAAATAGGTGTTTTTTTCTTTTTCCTACAAATGTTGAATGTTTATTTTGCTTTTATTTTTAAACGAATTATGTTTCCAGATTTGTTGTTAAGCAATAACAAATAATTTCCAATTGGGGATACTTGAGTGCTTCTATTGTTTACTATCACAGATCCAACATAGGCCACACACACAAAAGGTCGATGTGTATGGCTTTGGAATTGTTCTATGGGAGCTCATAATCGACATGCTTCCCTTCTAGAATATAACAACAGTGTAGACAACATTTGCCATTATGAACAAAGGTGTTAGGCCTATTATCCCCAATGATTGTCTTCTTGGACTGAGGGAGATCATGACATGCTATTGGGATGCCAACCCCAAGGTTTGCCCACCATTCACTAAGGTTGTTAGGATGCTTGAGAATGCAGAGATGGAGATCATGACTACCATCCGCAAGTCCCATT